AGTGCTCTTATTTCGCAATAAAGAACGAATTAACGCTGTAAGAGGAAAATTCCATTTAGTGAATAAATTAATTTAGAAAAAATACAGTGCCGTTTTGAAGGCAATTCTGGTATCATTCTCAAAAGATATCTAAAAATGTTTCACAAAACTTTTAGTGGCTCTTATCAAATGCATGTGATACAAAAAAATATTTGATTTTTATGTGACTGTTATTAGACTATGAAGGCTTTCTATCTATGTGACTGTTGTTCTGTAATTCTTTTATTTAATGACCTTGTGGTTTACCTATCAAGCAGCACTATAACTCTGGGCGGGTTTTGGCTGACTGTGAAATTTGTTTCCAGGTGTTCCGCTCCTCCATAATTCTGTGTTCGAAGGTAATGTTAATTTTTTGCATATCTGACATAATGTTATCTCTACAACGCATTCTGGGTCGTCCAGGTCCTTTCCGTATAAATTTCCTCCCATATAAATTTCAGCAGTCCTCATCCTGTAGTTCTATACCACATCCTCATCCTTATACAATCTCCTGATTTCGGAAGTTGTTCTCATTCTGTATTCGTTCGTGGTATGGGACGAAAATATTTCTCAAAACTTCACCATCAAATTGGTTGAGTTTTTCTTCGGTCTCGTTTTTCATGGTCCACGTCTCACACCCATACGTTATTTATGCGGTTGTTACTAGAAATATTTTAGAACTATTTAAAACAATTACTTTTTCAGTTGATCTGAAGGGTTAAAAGGTTTATGAAAATAAATTAGCAATAATTATATAATCTGATTCAGATTTGATGCAAAACTGGTTATGCAAAACCATTAAAAATAGTCAATTATCTACGCAAATAAACGCGTTATCGCACTATCGCTTAGATCCCAAAAGAAGCTGGATATTGCCTAATAATTATCCACCCAGTGTAGCAGTAATCGAGATCGTAAACCTAAACTTTATTTTTATTAACAATAAGATAACGGAACTGGGATATCAGGATCGAATGATTCGAGTTCGATAAATAAGTAGATTGGCAAAGAGAATCCGTGAGCCAAAAGAGAAATAAAGAAGAATTGCCCTCGTAAATCAGGATGCCCCTACTCGTTTTGTTTGTTGTTTGTGCATCCCGGGAGTCCTGTGACATCTATACAACGTCTTCTAATAATGTTCTTCCTGTTATCATGCCTACTATCATCGATAACTGTTTTCAGAATATATTGCCCAAAACTTTCTTGCTTATGATTAAATTGCCTATGGTCCATTTAGTACCTACTTAATTTGGAAGAGAACAATAAACTTGAGTATTGATTGATGCATGTGGTAGCTGTACACTACACCGTTTTTTTTTTAAATTGAGTATTAGATAAAAATTAGACTTTATCGTTATATGCAAATAAAATGAATTTAAAAAAAATTGAATTTGTATCACAAATGAATTGCGGAAAGTTGATTTTTTCTTAGATAGTTCGTATAGTTTCAAAATAACAAAACTTTAATTAATACTTCTTAAATTTATGAGAATGAGAATATTCAAATTAAGGCTGCCTTTAATAATTATTTTATATTGCATATAAGGTTTTTGTAAACCCGCTTTACTACGAACCAATGCATTTGGCATTCAAAAGGTTAAACCGCCGCTATGTGGATCAGTATAATATTAAACAGGGGGGTTTTTTAAATCTTGAAACACTTAAATATTTCGAAAACGAGTGATCCTAAAAAAAACATGTTTTAAGTAAGAAGTTAAAATCTGGGAGGGGGAAGTTTATTCGTGTCAGAAAAACAATGCCTAAATACTTCACGACAAACTGTTGAGTTGCATCCTGCCACGTGTGTTTCTGTAGGCTGATTTGGAGCCTTAACTTCTCCGGCCTTGGATGGGAACCATGGGGTGTCCACGGGGTTCGGAGTGGTGGTGTGTAATTTGATTACTTTAGAATACTCGTACCTATTAGTTACTTGTGGATTCAATATTCGTTACTTCAGATCAATTATTCAAATACTCATTCTAGTCGTAAGTCTTACAAAAGTCGAAAACCGATATTGGTATTTTATTAGTGCATTTCAGATTTGTTACACGGCCATGAAAACAACAATACAATCCTTGAAYTTATAATTCTCGTATTAAATAGGTATATTTACGTCTAAGAAATAAATAGGCCGACCATTTTAATCCATTTTTAAATCAGTTGTTAATTGATTCCCTGTTGTACTCTCTATTGTTATTGTAGATATTATCCGCAAACATTTTAAACCCTCGGTTGTTAATACTTGCAGTTTCTGAATCAACCGTCTTTTTGAAACAATTTTTGAAAGCAAGTCATTTAACTCTCTGAAGCAAGATGCCAAACATCCATAAATAAATTTTGGTGCAGTAGTAATACAGTGCGCAAATTATCAATTTTAACAAACGTCTTTTTACAAATATGCAGTTTTCAAATAAGCTACAATTATCATGTTACATTTTATATTATAAATGTAAACGTAAAAATATAATAAGTTTACCATGCGGCAACGTGTAACGCTGTTTTTAGTGATTATAATCGACCAACGTTGAAAACTAAACGCGGCTTTGGGTATCCATCCGTATCGGTTCGGGTCCGGGTACTGATTACTGGTATTGATCACCACTTAGTTTAGTTAGTCTGAACGAATACTTAGTATCCATGGGTATATGGGTTCGGTACTGGTATTGATTACCAGTTAGTTTAGTTACGCTGAACGAGTACTCGGTATCCATCGGTGTAGGGATTCGGTACTGTTACTGATTACTAGTATTGATTACCAGTTAGTCTGTGCGAGTACGAGTAATAGAGTATAATAGAGAGAGGCTTTGGAGTCGAATGTTAGGGTGGGTGATTTGATTTTTTTGATTTTTCTGAATACTCGTTTGGCAGCTTGGTTTGGTATTGGTTACTTCGGATACTGATGAGTATCGAGTAGTCGAATACCGATTAGGTATTTTTTTCCCAACACTAGTTCGGAGACAGAGGAGTCCTCGATTTTCCTGAAGATCCAATCGAATTTCTGAGACTGGGGTTGGTTGCTTTCGTTTTCTTAGAATGTTTATATAAATACTATTGTGATTGGCACATATTATTATACAAGGTAGTTTTTTTTAACCTCGAAACACTTAAATATTTCGGAAATGAGTGCCCCAAAGAAAAATTGTTTCAAATAAGAAGCTAATATCTGGGAGAGGGAAGTAAGTTTATTCGTGTCAGAAATACAACGCCTACTTCGACTTTGTAGGCTACTAAAGCAGATGGATAGCAGTAATCTTACACCAAACTGAAGAGTCTAAAATACGCCTTGTAAAACCAACATTACTTTAGGTCATCCATAGGAAGTTTCTGTGCTCTCTATGGATATGGATAACTACTCCCATGAGTAATTATAGAGCCGCGCCGAACAATTATGTATATTTAACTTACGTGTGCTTTGCCCTGCTTTATGACATAGCAAGTAAAGGATTATTGGAATGGATATATGGAATGTCATGAGCTAAAAGAGAGCGTATCGTACAAGTCAATAGAAGAATCGGAGGTCAACTAGAAACCCTTCTAACCATAAAGAGCAAAGCAGAAAAATACTTGGTACATGAAATAATTAAACAGAGATAATAGATAAAAATATAGATAAACACAGTAAATAATAGATAAAACATTAGGCAATTCAGATGTGGATAGAGGAAGAATATCTTTCTTTAAATACTTAAGGCAGTGCCAGAACTGTCTCTCTTTTATATCGGTAGTCAAAACCGCCGCCATTGTTTCCAATCTGTCACGGGAGCACGGAGCAAAAGCATGCTGCTGTTTTGACTTAGTTCATAAAATACATGTTTTGAAAATCCATGGATATGTTAAAATAAAATCTGAGATGCAGCGAGAGGTTTTGGGCAAACTATAAAATATTTCATTACATAATAAGAGACAGCGAATGATAAATTACCCATTCAATACAGAAATATTGTTTTAGCGAATTTGAAGCTGTTCAATCTACTTAGAAACAAAAGTTAGAAATGTTTTTTTCATCCAAACGATACAAGAACTTATGATATTTATGTCTTCAACCACGCTACTGGTGAAGCTGATGAAATACGTATTATCTAGCATGCAGTGGTGCAGTCAATGCGGAACCTACATCTAAAATTCTTTTATAATACAAAAATATACTTCAACCATTGTTATAATAAAAAAGAATTGAGTACAAAAACTAACACTCAACAAGTATTGACTTATGAAAATCCTTGGAGGTTTTGCACATTTTTTTTTATTTCGCAGTTTTGCTGCCTGTCGAGCATAGTTAAAATAAATAAAAGCTATTTCCGACATTTCTCGTCTGGCAATATCTTGCATACCTATTTGAATTAAATTATAATGATCTTTGATCGTGTTAAAATCTTCTAGCGCACGGATTTCAATTTTAATGTCAACTCCTTTCACATCAAACATGACAAACTTTTCGACGGCGCTGGAAGTTTATAAGTTGGGCATATAGAATTTCTCTTGAGCAAATTATTTCCAGGCGCATCTCGGATATGGAAGGGGTCCTACATCAGTCGAGTAATGGATTAAGAAATGAGGACACAGTCACGTGAAATGTTTTTGTATGACAAAGTTGAGCGAACATTTAATAAATAAAGTTATATATGTAAAATGGAAAAGAAACAATGGTTGACCTGACAAAACTTAAAATACATTTCTTATCATTGTTATCAGATAGTAACGGCATCATTTGATAACTAGAAAGGTCATAATGGGAAAGATGCCTTCCTTTTTCTCAACAAAATAATTCATGCAACTCTATGAACAATAATCTTCTAGTGTAACTAAGGCAGAATATCTTACCATTCCAGCTGTTAGGAAACATGGTATTTAAATAATTTTGCTAATCCTTATAGACACTAGAGTGGGAGAAGGGAGGGAAGGGACGAGCACCGTTATACTAATAATACATTTCAACTCATATATAAGAAATCATGATCGAAGATTTTATTCAAATTGGCCTGCAAAAACTTATTATATATATTTTATTATAGATATTTTTTTCCATTGAAATATTCATCCAACAACAGAAACCTGTCCAATATTACATTTATTAATACCTTGCCGAGTGAACTATGCTTCAGCAATAAGGAAGGAATCTGTGAACGTGAGGGATTTGAGTTATGTAATTAAAGATTTTTTAAATGCAGGATTGGCTTCTTGGAAATCTTAAACGGGTTCTAACAAAAAATTTCTAATTATTTGGCGTCCAAGTTTCCAAATTGATTATGGAAATCGATCTGAAATTAATTTTCTGTTACCATATTCAGGATATTTTATAATATTTACACTTGCAAATGTTCCACTTGCTTGACCTGTTGAAAAAACTTTCTGAACCCCATTGGCTACGGTTCTGTCTGGAAATCCATGGTGGTATTCCGCATCTGTTACAACTTAATTTCAACTTGTTTAACGGCAGCTTTTCCGTAGCTGAAATGCTAAGCAAAAACCACTACTAAATTTTTTTACGTATTTCAAAGCTAATGGGAAAAAGTGAATAATGCATTTGAGAAGAGCATTTGTTTGTGCCTTTTGTGTATCCCCGTGTTCAAAAAATGTAGCGTTTTCCGACCAATCGTAGTCTCAACTTTGCGTTCATTTTGGCTCATACGTTATCTAAATATTCCAATACTTCACATTCCTCCCAAAAGTGGATACGATAAATTAAAAGAAACCGTGTATATTATAAGCATTGCACTTACTACTCGCGCTCTAAAGCAGTTAATAACCCAGTGTGTTAACCAAATCACTTGAAAATATTAGCTTATTTACTGTGCTTTATCCAGGCATTCTTATAACCAAAAATGCCAACATGCTCCAGAAGTTGGATGTGGTTATCGCAAGCCGAAAATTTCATAAAAATGATTGATGAACGTGTCCTGCCCGACAATATAATACACAGCTCACGTGGTATTTCATGTGATAAAAATGTGTAACGCCCGGATATATTTCATGAATAATGTAAGGTCGTATCAGGGCGACAGTCTGACACAAACACCCTAACCCGAATGATAAAATAAGAAAAAGATTCAAATTGAAAATTAGTTACCTCAACAATTGGTGGACGATCTGCGCTGAATAACAAGTGGAGGTTATTACGAAATGATTTATGAAGAGCTTTTTTTACCTTGTTGAATACACATATCATTTTTTTGTGACAACGGTTCAAGTGATATAGTCAACCTTTTGATTTAATTAAAATCAACATTAAGCGTATTAAAAATGATATGTAGATTTATTTGGTAAAATATTAGTAATTTCCTATTAGATAGCGTGACCTAAATAATACAAGTGGATGAGCTATTGAGAACTACAATTGATTGAAAATTGATAAAATGGAAGAAGTTGCAGACAATTTTCTATATGGAAAGATGCTATTTGTCATTTAGACTTGGGTACTAGGCTAAAATTGATTCTGATACTTAAAGATTTTAACAAATGTTGTTTATTTGCCAAAGCGCGCTTTCTGAAAAAATTGTCGAACAATTTCGAACATAATTGATTGAATATCAACCATTGACTGATATGAATTTTGCAGTATTTTAGCAGTCGACTTGGTGGTTTAAAGTACTTCTGATCTTCAATGAGTCCTAACTACTGTAAATTTACTGTGAGGATGCCTGAAATATTATTAAGTAATGTTATTTTTGCCTTAAAAATATATTGTTTAGTTCTAAAGTTGCTCAATATTCAATTCAAATTCAAATATTATATTGCGGCCTCGTTTGTTAACTTTGTAATAACAAATTATATATATGTAATTTCACTACCAAGCAAAAACAGCGCAATTTGGAAATTTTGATGTAATTTGAAACTTTCCGGTTTTGATATGCAATATCCAATTTTCCAAGTGATTAAAAGCAGCAAAAATTAAAATATTTGCAAAAAATTACATCAGAAGTTCGGCAACAGAAAAGTATACAGACACCAATTTTTGTAGGAATTTATAGAATAGTGACTACCAAATTTTCATTATTTTTAAGACAAACTTCATTAATGAAAGCTCGTTCAAAATTATTGCTTTGACCTGTAGATTGCAGGGAACACGAGGTTGGTTTGCAAGTGTATTTTGTTCTTGACAACAGTTCAAGTTAGCGAAACAATTTTAAATGCTTATTTGTATGCAACAAATCAATTGAGAAGTCAGACTCTTAATTAGATGTTTCAACTAATGTAAGCATTTATTTTAATAAAATACTTAATTTGTTTCTTAGTGGCAATATCAGATATTTAATCATTGTGACTCATTTCAACGTATAATCAAGAAATATATTTCTATATTCCATAAAGAAGCATCTGATATCTGCTCATCAAGCTGTTGCCTTGCAATCTTGCTCAGTAAATGACCGAGCCATTTATTTTGCAGCTAATGAAATTATTGCCAGCGTTAGGTCCATCACAACAGTGCAGCCTCTTGGGGTTTAATAGGGTAGAAATTATTGCTACATTGTGTTGTAATAAATGGGCACGATTTGAGGTGGCATCAAAATAATTTCTTAGGTGAAATAGAAGAAAGGACTCATATAGATTACTTTAAGCTTAATTGCGAAAATATCGTGGGTGATAAAGACCAACTCAACCAAACATTGTTGTTGGATGAAGAACTATCAATAGAGAATTAGATTGCGTATTTCAAAGAGATGTAAAAAATGTGGTTTAAATAACGTTTACGTAGTTACGATAACGTAGACGTTTAAAATACACAAAAACGTCTAAAATACACTCGTTTTCCCCGCTTTTTAGTATTGCACCCCCCGAATAATTTGGATATTTACAAATTTTGGAAAACCTTTAATGTTGTTGTGTGTTGGCGCGGATAGAACATTTATGAACGTGTCAGTTCGGCGCCCTATTATTTATTTTTGTTCTGGTGTTTTTGGTGTGTAACAATGAAAAAGTGAAGTTGTCAATCTAGTAATAATCAATAAAAAAAAAA